TATATATATATATATATATATATATATATATATATATATATATATATATACACACACACACACACAATTTAGTTTTGGTTTCCATGTATATATAGTTTCATATATACATATATGTTTGGTTTCTATGTATATATATATAGTTTTATATATACATAAATAGTTTGAGTTTTCATGTTCATAAATATGAAATCACATATTTCATATTTATTATTGTGTTTTAGAAAATATTGCATAGAATATGCATATTTGTGAAAATATTGTGTTTCTAGTTTATAGACTTCATAACAATAGTTTACATCTTTCTTTAAGTCTGTAAAATCATTTTGTAAAGTTTCAAAACATGGTTTAGCCAAAATGTCAAAATTCATATGTTTACATTTTCATGTTTTGAACTATTTTGCAAAATGATGATATTTTACATTTGGGAAGTCCTTTTTGAAAATCAGTTTCTATAACATGTTTATTATCATGTTTACAATCATTTCCCAAAGTTTTATATTTTTTGAAATTTATTTGATATTTTTAAACCCAGTTTAAAGTTGAGTTTTTCTGTGCACTTCAGGTCTGTGCATGTTTAGTCGATTCATTAGTCGACTCATGAGTCGATTCATAAGTCGACTCACGAAGTGCAGCGGAGTTGTGATTTTTCTTCTGCTGAGTCGACTTATATAAGCCGACTCATTAGTCGACTCATAAGCCGACTCATTAGTCGACTTATAAGTCGACTCATGAGTCGACTCATAAGTCGACTTATGAAAGAGTCGTTGCACAGTAACTGCTAGTTTCCAGCAGTGTTTTCTGAGGGTTTTTTTGTCTTTTCAGTTGGGTTTTGGCTGAGGTTTTGGGTGGCTATATATACCCCATTGCTCTCATCCTTCACATCTATCTAAGAGAATATTTTAAATAAGTTTAACAATGGTTTAAAGTTTGTTTTAGTTTGTTTAAAAGAGTGTTTAAGAGTTTGGTTTGTGAAGAGAATTTCACAAGAGCAAGTAAAGATCATCCTTGGTGTTTGAGCATTCACTCTTCTCCCTCTCTCTTGTTATCTATAGAGAAGTTTCCCTAAACTCAATCTAGCTATACATTTATATTGTTTAATTACCATTTTATTAAGTTAGTGTTTATATTGAGTTTAGTTGATTTTATTTACTCTTTGTTTACACACACAACCATTGAGCTTATTGTATTTGCATACATTGTATAATTGGGTTGTGGGATTGTGTGACTTAGAGTGTGAGCCTACATTGTGTTCTCATCTATTGTAGAGAACGATTTATTTGTATTGAGCCTTCATTGTGAGATCACATTGTATTACACTTGTACACCGAGAGGAGTGTGTGGTGAGGACGGAGTCGATACCAAGAGGAGTGGCGTCGGTGGCCTAGTGAAAGGTGATAATTCCGAGCACTTGAGGGAGTCGATACGTGAGGACCAACACTTGAGGTTGTAGCTTGTGTATGTATATTGTGAGGATTTGTGAGAGTTGTCGGTTGACTTGATAACCGAGTGTATAGAGTTTTCGGTTAGCTAGAAAACCGAGTATGTAGAGAAGTTCCGGCTTTCAAATCGGGTTGTGTAGTAGATTCTCCTCGAGAGTGGGGAGCGGGGACGTAGGACGGAAGGTCCGAACCTCGTGAACATATAGCGTGTTTGGTTTGCATTAGCACACTTATAACTGTTCATCTTATAGCCTATTGCATCTTGTTTGTTTCACCCTTGTGATAGTTTATATATCCTTGCATACATCATATAGTATATCTCATTGCTAGGATGTATCACCTTTGTTCATATTACATATTCTTGCTCATAAGTAATTGTATATCATCTTGCAAGAACATATTTGTTAATAAGTTTTAAATTGGCATAAAATCGGATTATATTAGCATAAACCCTATTCACTCCCCCCCCCCTAGGGTTCTTTCATAGCGACCTTAGGGTCCAACATCTATCCATTGATTTTTTTATGAGTTGAATTCGCTTTGAGATTTGTTTGACGTGTGATACACATCAAGACTATATTTGATGTGCATGTCTTGATGCGTATCACAAATCCGCACAAATCTCGAAAAAAGTTAAGGGATGAAGTATTTGTTGTACAGACCTTCACTCTACTTAAATCCAAGTAAATCCTATCAGAACCGCTCGCATACAATGGGGCAGTTCTGAGCCCTTCATGTGAAAAATAGGGGGCAGTTTGGCAATTGTGTCCATCGTTTGTGGAACCGCGCATCCCATGCAAGCTGTTCTGATACTAGGTTTAGTCCTTAAATCAAGAATTTTCCCTTTTACCCTTGCATTTTCAAATAACACTA